AGGGTCATTTTTAGGCTAGAAAATCGATTTTTGGCTCATTTCTCCAGATTTTTCTCGAATTTTCAGCATTTTCAGCCATACCAGTGTGATCCTTGATCACCGGCGGCGTGGTCTCCACCAGATACGCGCAAATGATCGTTTGGCCGATGCGGCGATTCGCGATACTCGTACAATCGTCTCGTTCGCACATTTTGATCGATCGATTTGTGGGCGGAGCCTGAGCATTTTTTTTTGTGGAAATATCGATTTTTCGGCTTAAAAAATGGCAAAATTGGCTTAAAAACCTGGATTTTTCTGGCAAAAAAAGTGGGAAAAATCGGGAAAAAATTCAAAATTTAACATGGAAAAATGCAAAATTCCAACAAAAATAAATGGCAAAAAAAGAACATTTTGAGATGATCGGGAGGGAATGGGGAAAATGAGCGAAAATGGGGCTAAAATCAACAAAAATCACAGAAAAATGTACAAAATGGGTCGAAAATAGGTTAAAAAATCGATTTTTGGGTCAAATTTGAGCTAAAAAGGCGATTTTTGGGTCAAAAATAGATCAAAAAAATCGATTTTCTGGGGCAAAATAGGGCTAAAATTCACGCGAATTGAATTTCGGGTCGTTTTTCGTCACAATATAGTCATCCGGCAGGGCGCTGGGCGGCAATTTCGGCAAAAGTCCGGCGTATTTGACTTGTAGAGCATCATTACCATGGAGAACACGTTTCAGGAGACAGAACTGAAAAAATGGGGGGCGATTTTAGGCGCTGAAAATGGTCAAAAATAGCTGAAAATCCTATAAAATTGGCTGAAAATAGTCGAAAAAATGGCTTTTTAGCGCTGAAAATAGCCCAGAAACACCCAAAATAGATTTTCTAGCCTCTGGATTACTGTAGCTCGAATTCTGTGCAAGCACCGAGACAATGCACTATATTTGACGACAGAATTTGAATTTTTGACTTGAAAATTCAATTTTTCTGCATTTTGTCGTAAGATCTGATGCATCGCATCGGTGTTTGCACAGATTTTTCGAAACTTTCGAAACTTTCAAACTACAGTAATCCCGAAGCGAGAAATTCGATTTTAGGGTCATTTTAAGGCATTTGTAGGCTATTTTAGTGATTTTCGGACGCATTTAAGCCATTTTTCATGAATTTTGGACCATTTTTGATGGATTTTAAGCCATTTTTCATGAATTTTGGACCATTTCTGATGGATTTTAAGCTATTTTTTTTTATTTTGGACGATTTTAAGCCAATTTTCCGAGAATTTCGGGTGATTTTAGGCCAATTTTAAGAAAATTCGACACTTTTCGGGTAATTTTAGACACATTTCAGCCCAGTCAGACCAGTTTACAGCCATTATGAGTAATTTTTGGGTCATTTTAGACCAATCTTAAGAAAATTTGAGCTATTTTTCCTCAATTTTCGACCATATTTGATGGTTTTAGAGCTAATTTAGGCTATTTTAGGCAAATTTTTCACACGAATTTTGGACCATGTTCAGTGAAACTTTGGGTCATTTTTGGCCGTTTTTTTAAACTATTTTTAGACCGTTGTTAGCCATTTTAGGACCATTTTCAGTCATTTATTGACCATTTTAGCTTAGTTTTAGGCCAATTTTCATGAATTTTGGGTCATTTTGGACTATATTCAGCCAATTTTAAGCTACTTACTGCCAAATCGGGCACCGTCTGCACAGCGGAATCGCTCGTCGGCCGCGGTACCGTAATCCTCGCCTTCTCCTCCGAATCAATCAATTTCCACTCGACGGCTCGCCAGTGTCCGTGTTGTTTGACTGCACTATACATGACATAGTCATTCAGCTGCACCAAATCGTGTAGTGTCGTCGCACCGTAGTCATTGTCCTTATAGCCGCCAGTGTAGGTGAGCATATGACATCTGGAAGGCATTTTTGGCTTGAAATATGCTGAAAATCTGAAATTTCGGTGAAAAATGAGCCGAAATTCTGTCTTCTAGCTTAAAAATCGCTGGAAATGCGCTGAAAACTACCCGAAAATCGATTTTCTCGCTTTTGGATTACTGTAGTTTGGAACTTGGATAATCTGTGCAAACACCGCGGCGATGCATTACATTTGACGACAAAATTCGAATTTTCTGCATTATGTCGTAAGATTTGATGCATTGGCTCGGTGCTTGCACAAAATTCGGACTACAGTAATCCAGAGGCTGGGAAATCGATTTTGGGGTCATTTTTAGCGCTAAAAACGCGATTTACAGCAATTTTGGAGTAAAATACTGGAAAATTAACGAGAAAATCCGAAAATCAAGAAAAACTGTTGAAAAATGCCCTGAAAATCGATGTTCTCGTTTCTGGATTACTGTAGTTCGAGTTCTGTGCAAACACCGAGACAAAATTTGATTTTTCTGCATTTTGTCGTAAGATCTGGTGCATTCTTTCAGTGTTTACACAGACTTTCAAAACCGTCAAGCTACAGTAATCCAAAGGCGGGAAAATCGATTTTCAGGTCATTTTCAGCTCTGAAACTTGATTTTGGGGCTATTTTCAGCCAAAAATCCCAATTTTTCGCTCAAAAAAACTCACAAAACAGGCTCCGGATGTCGTTCAGCCGCCACAGTGACTTCACACGGTTCCACAAGTGTCACGGCGCCATAGAATATTTCCAGTCGTCCGGGAGCTTGTGGGGGCTGGAAATTTCGATTTTTTGACTGGAAAAATCGAGAAATTCGTCAAATATGACCTTAAAATTCGATTTTCAGCTCAAAAATTCAATTTTTGTCGTCAAATCTAATGCATCGCCTCGGTGTTTGCACAGAATCGGAACTACAGTAATCTAGGGCCTAGAAATTCGGTGTTAGGGTCATTTTCAGCCATTTTTCTCGGAAAATTCAGAAAAATCAGTTTTTATCGATAAAAAAAAGCTTAAAAACGATTTTGGAGCCTCTGGATTACGATAGCTCCGATTTTGTGCAAACACCAGCAGAATGCACCAGATTTGACGACAGAATTTGAATTTTCGCATGAAAATTCGCTTTTTAAGCGTTTTTTTAGCAGAAAATTCAAATTTGGTCGTCAAATCTAATGCATCGCCTCGGTGTTCGCATAAAATGGCTGAAAATAGCCCCAAAATCAAGTTTCAGAGCTGAAAATGACCTGAAAATCGATTTTCCAGCCTGAAAATCACTAAGAATGAGCCCAAAATTGATTTTCCAGCCTTTGGATTACTGTAGCTTGACGGTTTTAAAAGTCTGTGTAAACACCGAAAGAATGCACCGTTTGTCTCGGTGTTTGCACTGAATTCGAACTACAGTAATCCAGAAACGAGAACATCGATTTTCAGGGCATTTTTCAACCGTTTTTCTTGATTTTCGGATTTTCTCGATAATTTTCCAGTATTTTACTCCAAAATTACTGCAAATCGCTTTTTAGCGCTAAAAATGACACCAAAATCGATTTTTCAGCCTGAAAATCACTGAAATTGGACTTAAAACCAATTTCCCAGCCTCTGGATTACTGTAGTCCGAATTCTGTGCAAGCACCGAGCCAATGCATCAAATCTTACGACATAATGCAGAAAATTCGCAATTTCAAGTCAAAAATTCGAATTTTGTCGTCAAATGTAATGCATCGCGGCGGTGTTTGCACAGATTATTCAAGTTCCAAACTACAGTAATCCAAGTGCTCCAAAATCGATTTTAGGGTCATTTTCACCCGTTTTTTTTCGATTTTCGGGTCATTTTTCATGGATTTTTCGATATCAAACTTACTTTTGGCCTAGTTTCCACCACATTCCGACTAGAACTACTCCCTTGTGCCTCCAAAATCCCCAAATCCTCTCCAATGAGCGGTTTGAACTGTTTCACCGCCGAAATCGCCACCCAATGACACTTTTTCAGCTCGATTTGCTCTTTGAACGTCACAATCAGGATGTCCTTCTCCTTACAGTATCTCCGGACGTTTTTCACGACATTCGGGTCGAAAGCGTCGCCGGGCATGAAAATTGTACCGTATATCTCGTTGACGCCGAACGCGTAGGTCTCTTCGGAGCTGGTTACGGTGACTTCCTGGAAAGTTCCAAAAAAAGTTTTTTTCAAATTTTCAAAATTTCCAAAAAACCTAAAAATTGAAATTTTGAGCTAATACCAAGTATTTTATTGTATTCCCCATGCTATCAGCTTCAAAATGAGCCCCATATTGCCTAGGCTCCGCCCACTTTAGCGAATCTAGTCGAGTTTAGGCTCATGTTGAAGCGAAAATCAGCGTTTTTTTCCGATTTTTAGCATGAAAAACGCTGAAAATCTCAATTTTAAGCTTAAAAATGACTTACAACAGGTCCGTGCACCTCATCTGACAACACTTGCGACGGCGCCGTCTTTCTCACCGACGTGGCTATGTATCGGCACCCATTCTTCTTTTCGACTTGTTTTTGGACCCGGAGAAGCACTGGCTCGTTGTTTCTGAGCGGAAAAATTGAAAAATTCGGTTTATTCGAGCCGGAATTCCGAAAAAACTGATTTTTTAGCTTAAAAATCGAATTTGTGGCTTAAAATCTCGATTTTTCCGGATTTTTTGCACTTTTTAAAGCTCAAAATCACCTAAAAACAGTCCGTAAATCCGTAAGAGTCACTCCTTTATCGAGTCTCGCCGCCGCTGTGGGTATAAAAACGCTTCCTTTCTCGGTCAGAGCGTATGCGTATTTTTCCTCACATTTCGTTATCAAACCACTGATTTCCATGGTTTTTAACCTGAAAAAATGGATTTTCCATCGAAAACTAGGCCCAAAACATGAAAAAATCGCGAAAAATGACCCGAAAAAAGAAAAAGAATTGATAAATATTTCGCGCTAAACAAGGCGCGCCTATCGGGATAGCGGAGTGTCGTAACTGATTTATTTTTCTGAGTTTTTAGCGAATTTTGACGATTTTCAAGGAAAATTCGCGTAAAAGAAGGGAAAAAAGCATGATTTAAGCTGAAGAAAAGCAAATAAATTACAAAATACAAAAAATAGAAATTTCAACACACTCTGACTCATTTATTTCTGCCTTCTGATCCCTGGGATCCATGACTTGTCTTATTTCCGATGACTAATAATGTTTCAAAAAGAAGAAAAAAGACCCAGAGAAAAAACAGAGAAAAATCAAAGATAAGAAGGGAAATCACAAGGGAGAGAAGCGAGAGAGTATAGAAGACTGGAGAGACGCGGAGAACCCCGAGAGCCACTATTTAATCAGCTTCGAACGTCTTATTATTCGTCGAAAAGTGCGAAAAGTTGACAAAATTTTTGAAAAATCGAAAATTTTCTGATTTTCTAACTATTTCTCCAAAATGGTCGACAATAAACGGATCAGTAAGTTATTTTAAACTTTCCGAACTTGGACAATTTTCAAAGTTTCGAATTCAGCACGTTGAGAGCTTCAAAATGAGCTCGACCACGACTAGGCTCCGCCCATTTTGAATTTTGACCTCCACACGCGACGCACGACCGCAACGCGCCTGAAAAATGAAAGTGGGCGGAGCCTAGCCGTGTTTGGCCTCATTTTGAAGCTCTCGACAAGCTAAATTCAATTATACTGAGCAATATTCACCCAAACCCTTGGAAATCGGAATTTTTCAAGTTTTAAAGAAATTCGAAAATTTTTTGGAATTTTTGAAAAAAATCGATTTTTCCAGAAACCATTTTCGATGGCTATGCAAAAACGAAAAAAGGGAAATTGAGTCGATCGGAGGCGAAAAAAGCGCTGGAGGAGTTGGACAAGGATACCGACGAGTTTGGGGATCAATGGCGGAAGAATTCGAGCTCGGGATTTGTGGATTTACATGGTTGGTTTCGGAAATTTTGGTTTGAAATTTCAAAATTCGAATTTGTAACGTCAAGAGCTTCAAAATAAGTATGAACATGGCTATGTTTCAGGTCAGGTTAATTTCACGTAGACACGCGACGCACGACCGCGACGCGTCTAGAAAAGTGGACGGAACCTAGGCGTGTTTATACTCATTTCAAAGCTCATGACGCTGCAAATTCGAAAATTGAACAATTTTTGAGTTTGAATAAAAACGAATTGGGTTATGTCCCTTTAAAATTTGATTTCGAAAAATCAAAATTTCAAAACTACCGTAACTCGGTCAATATTGGCCCATATCAAAGAATTTTAGCGTTTTTGAACTTGCCACAATAAGCGCTTCAAAATGAGTATAAACTCGACTAGGCTCCGCCCACTTTGACATTTCAGCTAGACACGCGACGCACGACCGCGACGCGCCTGAAAAATGAAAGTGAGCGGAGCCTAGTCGTGTTTATGCTCAATTTAAAGCTCACAAAGCGGAAAGTTTGAAAATCTAGATTTTTTTTTTAATTTTGAATCAAAATGAAGGGAGTTATGGGACTTTTTACTTGAAGCTGAAAATTCGAAACTACCGTAACTCGATCAATTTTTATCCAAAATTTGAAATTTTTAAATTTTAAAGTTTGTCATGTTGAGAGCTTCAAAATGAGTATAAACACGACTAGGCTCCGCCCATTTTGAATTTTAGCTCCAAGAAGGGGCGGAGCCTCCTAACACCATTCAGAATGGTCCAATTTTCAAAATATTTTTTGGAAAACGTCCCAAATTTTTTATATTTTCAGGATTCTTAAAAATGACGCTTCCCGAAAACTCGGATGCTCCTTTAAAATCGTATTCCGGCCATCATTCGGGGACCCATAAGTCGGAGAGGAAGAAGAAGAAGGATAAGAAGACGTTCGAGGAAGAAGACGATTTTGAGAAGGAGAAGAAAAAAATTCTGGAAGATTCTGGAGAAGAAGAAAAGACCAAGAAGAAGGAAAAAGAGAAGAAGAAGAAGAAGAAGAAGAAGGATAAGAAGAAGATGAAGAAGAAGAAAGATTCTTCTTCTTCTTCTTCGAATTCAGAATCCTCAGATTCAGAAGAAGAAGAAGAAGAAAATAAGAAGAAGGATTCTTCCTCCTCTTCTTCCTCTTCCTCTTCTTCAGATTCTGAATCTAAAAAGAAGAAGAAGAAGAAGAAGAAATCCAAAAAGTCTTCTTCTTCATCCTCTTCCTCTTCCTCGGATTCTGAAAAAGATGCAAAAAAAGAAGAAAAAGGAAAAAAGAAAAAGGCCGAGAATCTGGAGACCTCGGATTCTGAAGATCCAGAACATTCCAAAAAGAAGAAAAAGAAGAAGACTCCAGAATCCTCGAATTCTGGAAAACGACGTCATCGGATTCGAAAAACCGAGGAGCACGAGGAAGAGAAGGAAAAAGAGGAGCATCACGAGTCGCAGGATGAGAATTTTGAGTTCGACACTTCTAGAAGACGTCGAGCTGCTTCAGAAGACGTCCCGAACGACATCTTGCTCAAAAAAGAGCCGGAAATCGATTCGGACAGCTCAGAGGACTCAGAAAATGCTGGAAAATGTCACTGCCACTGCGACCATACCCACACTGAAGAATATTCTTCAAAAACCGACAAATTTACTCATCATCATTGTGCAAAATGCAAAGTTAAATGTCCCATTTGTACTTGATTCTTTCTTTTTTCTTGATTTTTGCAATTTTTTTTCTATATAAACTTCTTTTATAACATATCCTATTGAATTTCACACGTTTTTAGCTTCAAAATGAGCCCAAACACGACTAGGCTCCCCCCATTTTGAGTTTTTCAGCGGCGTCGCGGTCGTTCGTCGCGTGTTTTCAGGTGAAATTTCAAAGTGGGCTAAAAGGGGCGGAGCCTATTTTTCTTAAATATGGTCGTGTTTATACTCATTTTAAAGCTCTTGACATGCCAAATTCTAAAATTTAAATTTTAAAAAGTTTGAGCAGAAACTGATCAAGTTAGGATAGCTGTAAAGTTTCCAAATTTTGTGGGTTCAATTTTCAAAATCCCATAACTACCTTCATTTTTTTGCAAAACAACAAACATTTAGGTATTGAGTTTGACTTGTTTTGAGCTTCAAAATAAGTATAATCATGACTATATTCGGTCAAAATCAGGCTCCCCCACCTTTTTGGACCCAGAAAAGGCCAAAAATCAAAGTGGGCCGAGCCTAGTCGTGTTTGGGCTCATTTTGAAGCTCTCAACGAGCTGAAGTCGAATTTGGTGTCAATTTTCGAAAAATGTTAGTTTCATACCCGTCTAGCATCCAAAACAGCAAAACAAAAAGCAGAGACAAGGAGAATTTGGAAGAATTTCATGTTGGAAATTTTGATTTTTGAATTTTTCGGGCGGCATTTTTATACAGAGAGTTTCAAAATATAGGTGTGGAATAAATAGGGGGAGAAGTCATTGTCTGTGAGAAACTTAAAAAATAGAAAAAATAATTTTTCCGAAAAATAATTGGAAAATTTTTTTTCTTTGGGAAAAAAGGAATTTCTAATCCCAAAATAACTACTGTAGGTCAATCCTACAGTAATCCGGCTTAAATTGTGTTCTTGGAAACAGCCGAAAAATCCTTTAAAAAGCGAAAATTCTAGAAAAATTCCAAAAAATTTTTTTTCCGAATTTTCACATTTTTTGTCCCTAACTTGAAAATCAATGTTCCTAGCTAAAAAATTCTAAAAAATTTGAATTTTTTAGTTAATTTTCTTCATTTTGATACCCAAACTCGCTTATTTGAAAAAATTTGAAATATTCAAAAAATTGAAAAAAAAAAACCGTAAACAATCTAATAGAACGCCACCCGGACCGTCCACTTTGAGCCTATATATCTCACTTCTTTCAAAAGATATCAAAAAGGTGTCAACTAATAAAATGTTTATCATAACATTAGCTACATTTTATTAGTTAACCACTTTTTGATATCTCTTACAAAAAATGAGATACATGGGCTCAAAGTTGACGATTCGGTTGGCGTTATATTAGAGTGTTTACGGTACCTTTTTTCGTGAAAATTCTCAAAAATCCAATTTCTAGGTCCACAATTTTTAAAAAATTTAAATTTCTTACTTATTTTCAGCTATTTAAAGCCCTAAAGTTGGAAAATTCCAGATTTCCTAAATAATTAATTTTTTGTTCATGTTTGGAATCAATTTGGCTAGTGTTTTCAATTTTCAATTCTTAAGTTTCTAGGCCAATTTTCTGTACATTGTGACGTCTGAATGCATACTGTAACCCCCGAAAAAAGGGTCGAAAAATCTCAGAACCGTTGTAATTATCATTTGTTTCCTCATTTGCCCAAAAAAGGGGAAAAAGGGGAAAATCGGTGACACAAGTGGAACGATAAAGGGATTTATGAAAAAAAGGAGGGAAAAAAGATGAAGAGGAAGAAGAAGATTGATGATGGAGATAGATAAGAAGAAGGGTTACACTATTATGTCCTTTTTTGGATTTGAGAAAAAAACCATTTTCCAAAAAAATGTTTTTTTTTCAGAAAATCTGAAAATAGTCCATTTTCAGACATCTACAAAACTAGCTTAGAATTTTCCGATTTTTCTGAAATTGTCATTTTTATACTAAACAAAACCAGAGCTTCATTTTTGTAGTTGACCACTTTTTTGTAAAATTGAAATCCAAGGAAATAGGACCGTTTGAAAAAAGTTGATTTTTTGAAAAAATTCTGAAAATAGTCTATTTTCAGACACCCAAAAAAATAGCTTAAAATTTTCAGATTTTTTTGAAATTTTGAGATTTGATGGATTAAAAATAGAGCTTCATTTTTGTTGTTGACAACTTTTCTGGAAAATCAAAACCTGATAAGGTATAGTTATTTGAAAAAAGTTAATTTTTGATTTTTTTTGAAAAACATTTTTTTTTTCGAAAAATTCAAATTCCTTCCCAAATCCAACCTAACCATTACATCTCCCAGATGACATGATAATTCTGACCCTTTTTCTGTATTTCTCTGGTTTTCCCTCTATACACATACCATAAACCAGTTTCAGAGGTGTCACTTTCATGATCAAAGTGGGCGGAGCCAAATCGGGGGGCCATCTATAAAAGGACTTCAGTGACTAAAAGTTTCTAGACCAATTTTTTGCGCTTTTCTCAATTTTGATGTTCTCTTCCTCCTAATTCCAGTCTGAAACCCTCAAAATTCCAGAAAAGACAATGTCAGCACGTGTTGCTGGCTACGCGGCCATTGCCTTCTCCCTCTCTTCCCTATTTTTGGTGTCCACCTTCGTTCCAGCCCTCTGGAACAAGATCAATGATATCACTGGAGAACTTCATTATGATATGAACGAGTTTCGCGATTTGCATAACGAAGTTTGGGCCAATATGAGAGGAGAGACCTTTGGAGAATCCGTCGTTCCATTCGCCAGAAAGAAGAGACAGACGACGAGACCAGGAGAATGCGGTAAGAAGCTCATAGCTAGTTTGAAAACGTAGATAGGCGAATTCTAACCAAAAATTTGAATTTATAAGGTTAAGAGCTCCAAAATGATATGCAACATACCGTAGTTCCTCTAATAGAAACCCACAAAATCTCTTTGGGGGGGCGGGCCGCGCCGTGTTGTTTTTGAGCTCAATTATCTCGGCTCCTATAAGAGATATCAATAACTTGTCAACTGATAACATATTTATCATAATATCAGCTACATTTTATCAGTTGAAACATTTTTGATATCTCTTACAGTAATCGAGATAATTGAGCTCAAAGATAACAGCAAGCCGACACGGCACTGCGTTACCTAATGCCTCGTTTTTTTGAGCTGATATATCTCGGCTACCATGAGAGATATCAAAAAGATGTTAACTAATAAAATGTCTCTGATACTATCAGCTACATTTTATCAATTTTCAAATTCTAGATATCTCTTACAGGAATCGAGATATATAGACTCAAAGTGAGATGGCTTCTACTAGAGGAAATACGGTAGTACAGGTTTCACGACTCCAAGATTCCTAGATATTTTGCAAAACTTGATTGTGTTTTATATCACCGGAAAACCCATAAAATTTCCTTTAAAACTGTGCAATGTTCATTTAGCTAGCTTTGTTTCGAAGCGAGTTATGCGCATTTTAAAGAGACGCAGAGAAGAGAGAACACTCTCCCTTCTCTGCGTCTCTCGGAACGTTTCAAGGCGCATAATTCGGCTGAGAATCATTCGATTTCATTAGTTTTTTGCTAACTTTGTAGAAAATTTCAAGGTCTACAATTTCATATCTTTCAGTGTGCAACTCAAACAGCGCCTGCCCACCAGGAGCCGCCGGACCACAAGGAACGCCAGGACTCGACGGCACCCCAGGACAAGCCGGTGAGCCAGGAGCACCAGGTCTTCCAGGAAACTATCCATCAATCAATATGGATGCTCATCAACAGTGCCGCATGTGTCCACCAGGACCACCAGGATTCCCAGGACCAGCCGGACCCCCAGGCGCGCCAGGAGACAAAGGAAATGACGGAGCACCAGGACTTCGTGGACCAGACGGACATCCAGGGCATCCAGGAAATCCAGGATACGGTGGAGAGCCGGGAGCGCCAGGGAATAATGGAGAGCCAGGAGACAAGGGAAGAGATGGAAGTCACGGAACGAAGGGAGCACCTGGACCACAAGGACCATCGGGACCAGTTGGACAGCCAGGATTCCCAGGACAACCAGGAAATGATGGAAATAGTGGAGTTTCTGGAATCCAGGGAACACCAGGAGGACCGGGAGAGGAAGGAGCTCCTGGAGCACCTGGATTCGATGGACAACAGGGACCAAGTGGAACACCGGGAGAGGATGCCAACTATTGCAAGTGCCCACCAAGATCTAAATTGTCTCGTTGATTTGAAAGGAAATAAACAATTTTGGATTTTAAGTCGACAGGTTTTTTAAACCCATATATCTCGGTTCTTATAAGAGATATAAAAAAGTAGTCAACTGATAAAATGTAGCTGATAATGAGATAAACATTTTATTAGTTAAAACTTTTTAATGCCTGTCACAGAAACCGAGATAAATTTGGTCAAAGTTAGAGGAGACGCGCCACTAGAGCTTCCCTAGCGCCAGCATACCTAATTTATCTCGGTTCCTGTAAGAGATATCAAAAAGTGGTCAACTGATAAAGTATAGCTGTTATAATGAAAAATATATTATCAGTTAATTACTTTTCGACATCTTTCACAGGAACCGAGATAAATTTGCTGAAAGAAGATAGCGGGCTGACGCGGCCCTTGATGCGAAAAAGGGGCGAGGGCTTATCATAAAAATGGCTCGATTTGAATGATTTTATAACAGAGTTAACTTGAATTTGCATAGAATTTTAAGTTTTTGTGGTTTTCTTTGAAATATGTAGGGTTTTCCCTAAAATTTCCTACTTTTCCGACCTGATCGGTCAACGGCGGCCCAACGGCGGCCGACAGACGGTCGACAGCAGTGGCTTGGGCACAATGGCATTTTCAAAATTTTTAACATAAAATTCAATTGTTTCATGAAATTTGCAACATTTTGAAGTTAATTTTCTCCAGTTTTCGAGCAATTTCACATTTTGAGATTTTTCAAAAAATCGTTTAAAAAAATTTCAGAAAAGGTATTTTCCAGCCAATTTATCTCAGTGTCTGTGAAAGATATCAAAAAGTGGCTAATTGATAAAATGTTTATCATATTATCTGCTACATTTTATCAATTGACCACTTCTTGAGATCTTTCACAATAACCAAGATAAATTGGCTCAAAGGTAAAGGTTACGGTAGCAGCGGCGCTGAATTTGATGAATTTGTTTCTTCGAGCCCATATATCTCGGTTACTGTAAGAAGTATACAAAAAATGAAGCTCTTTTTCCGTTCTTCATAATTATATAAGTTTCTTACATTTTCAAACAATTCGAGACGTGCTTTCTAGATCCTCAAACTTGTCCCTTTTCACGAGGTCCCCAAAAATTTCCAATAGACTCCTTAACTTAGATTTCGGCGCTTCTTTTTCGAAATTCCCCCCCCCCCCCCCCCCCAGGGGGTCTCAAAAAAGGGGGATTACTGTAGTCGGTAGTCGGTTCCCTCAAAAGTGACACCCTACTGATTGGTCCATGTCAAAACAAGGAGAGGAGACAAAGAGCATGTGTCAGCGAGATGTCATTTTGAGACTTTGTGAAAATATGTCAACATATAACATGAGCAATGTGTTGAAAATCAGAAAATTGAAATTTGGACCCTCAAAATTTGGACCCCCCCCCCCCTTAGCTCCCAACCCTATGGCGCAATCAACAAAACGCAACACAAAAATTTAGGGGAACAAGAGCAGGCGAGAGAGTCTAGGGACAACAAGAGACGCAGAGAAAGGGAAATCAGACATTACTACAGAAACAGGTGTGTGTGTGCTTTTTCTCGGGGGGGGGGGGTCTGATGGCATCTTCTCTGATGACCTATTGGTGAGGGTGGAGAAGAAGAAGAAGAAGATCAGAGGAGCGGAGAGAAGCATGAAGAAATATATAAAAACGTATAGGATCAAGGTGTATAGTAGTCGGAGGGGGGGGGGGTGATCAGCTGAGAGGAGAAGAAGAAGATAAAGGGTGGCCAATAGAAATAAATCTGGACGAAAAATAATGTTAGAAGCGAGCAGAGGAGTTCAACAAGCTCAACCGTGTAGCTCAGCTGATAGCGAGTCCTTTGAAGGTACCCTTAGGCAAAAAATTGGATCAGGAAGTGCTATCAATGGACTGTCAGCTGTTTATACTCTGTAACTTCCTTGAACTTAAACAGTTTGAGACGATTTTAATTGGAAAATGTAGATCTTGACATGATCTACAAGATGAAATAAAATTTGGACCGCTTTGAACGGAGCAAAGAACTAGGTGACCCCGAAGAAGAGTAATGGCAGGGCCTCAGGCACTCGAAGGCTTATAACTTGCTTCAAACTCAATATTTCGTAAAAATTCGAATGGGAAAATGTAGATCTTGAAACGATCTTCAAAATAGTGTACGATTTGTATCAGTTTGAGTTTTTAGCTCATCATACACGAGCAAAGAACTAGACGAGCCAGCAGGAGACTTTGAAGAGGAGCTATGGCAGGGCGTCAGGCTTGTGACTTTTTTCAAACTTCATATTTTTCAAAAATTCAAATTGGAAAATGTAATTCTTGAAATTATCTACAAAGTGATAGAAAAATGTATGTCAATTCGAGTTTTCGCCTTATCATACACGAGCAAAGAACAGGGCAAAGCAAGTGGCGATCGCGGCACCAGGATCCTCTACCTTCTTCGAAGCAGTTTATCTTGGCTCATGTGAAAGATATCAAAAAGTTGTCAACAGAAACAATGTAGCTGATATTATGATAAGCATTTTATCAGTGAACTACTTTTTGATATCTTTCACAGAAAGTGAGATAAATTGGGTCAAAGTTACGGTAGCTGGTAATTGTTTTAACATCACTGAAAACTAAAAAACGGTCTGTTCAGAAAAAGGGATCCGCACAAAAATTCAATAACACAGGCAAAATGAGGAGCCAACTGTTCCATGAAATAGAGAAATACCTAATGTCTTCTCCTGTCACATTGGAAAAGTGACAGGGGAGGGTGAAGAAGGACAGTTAGTATGATTAATTAGATTCCCAAATTTTCGAATTTCGATTTTATACATTTTTGAAAGGGGTTATAACTGCGTAGCTAGTTCAGGCACCATTGATGGTGCGTTTGGGTTCGCAGGTTTCATTTTTTCCGCTCTCTCATGGTCCGGAAGCTTGGAATCTTATGAATCTTCCTTTGATAATTCTAGAACCACTTTTTTAGCGTTTCACAAATCTATACAGCATTTTTGATATCCCTCGATATACTTTTTTGCCGTTTGCTGCCTAGTTGTTTTTTTTATCTCTTCTTATCTCTTTTGGAACACATGACACCTCACTAGAGACAACATCTGTCTGGACCCATGGTCACTCCCAACTGGACCCCCTGGGAAACACACTCAACTATATACTCGTTGGGACCATTTCCTTGATTTCGAGTTCCAAAAATTGATTATTTAAGATTTTGAGTGGGGGTTTCCGCACCTCTTCACTCTTGCAGAGCGCTCCCAAACCGTCTATTTTAAGCCTATGTATCTCAGTCCCTGTGAAAGATATCAAAAAGTGGTTAACTGATAAAATGTAGCTGATAATATGCTTAACATTTTGTTAATTGAGAACTTTTTGGTATCTTTTACAGTAACAGAGATATATAGCTCAAAGTT